CGTTGGGGTCTGGATTGGTTTCGACATGATTTGTTATGAAACGGTTGATATTCATGCGAAAGAAACTATCAAGAGTAGTAGAAAAGGGGGGTTTCCCCATAAGTCCCTACTTTTTATAAATTTGTGCTTAATCTATAACTAATATTAGATTTACCGAGCCTAAGTATGTAAGCTGGGTTGTCCAAGCTACAAATTAAATAATGAGAATCTGTTTACGCATTGAGGTAAAACAAAAGTAATATACATTAGCATTGTTTGATATTATCTTAATCCAGACATAACCTCGCTGCCATTGTATTGAAGGGCGTTTTGATTCTTACACATCAAGTGAATGTTCATTTCCTGAATTGTCGTTGTGGTTTCATCTTCATTGATATCACACTTGTTCCTTCCATGCCTACACAATCAAAAAGCAAATCCTCAAAATATGCAATGTATGAGCAAAATATGGATTTTTGTTAATGAACAAAGTTATTAAGTGATGTATGAATAAATAATGCTTATAGAATGTCTGAGGAACTGATGACATAAATGAGGATAAAATTTTAAAATGTTAGGACTTGATGGGTAATCATTATTTCCCTTTTTTTATCAGGTGTTGAATTAATAAATAAGTGTTGTATGAATAAAGAATGTTTTTTTGGACTGAACAAACCATCTTAATAATAATAAATAACCATTTTGCCATTTTGTCTAAAATTGATGCAAAAAGAAACACCTATACATATCAAAATGAACCAAGTCTTGTATCCACTAAACCAATTAAATCAAAAAGAACTACACATTTTCTCTATTAAGTTGTTCTTTCTGCATTTATGTCAAAAAGAAACACGCATGTACATGCAACTGTGCCTAATACTGGGCACAACAATATAATGGTCATTCAGTTAGATTATTCAATCCAAAAAAGAAAGTCTTTATGCAATCTTTGCCCCTATTATGTCCATTAAATCAAAAAGAAACATCACCTTACTTTACTAAAAGAAAATTTTGTAAAGGGCATAAGAAAACTACTTTACTTAGTAGGACAATTATCTTTGAATTAGGACAATCAACTTTGAATACCAACATCAAAAATAACTGGCTCAAAACCAAAAACACAAACAAGACAGTTTGATCTAAACACACACACACACACAAATAAAATAATGGTTCATGTGATATACAAACAATTTCTTAATCCTAGCCTGTTAAATTTATAAAAGTCGTCAATGATTGGAAATTTATATTTTTGGACAAACTTAACATTGATGATCGATAACATTATATTAGTATAGTGGCCATAAGTGCTTTACTCAATACTATAAGGACTCAATATATGTTTTTCCAGAAAAAAAAAAATCATGGATTTACAGTAACAAAAGTCATAGTTTCTTTATCTTTCATCAATAGTTGTTCCAAGAAAGCAAGCAAGAATAGAATCTGAAGAGCTTGTAAATACAAGAATATCAAGAAGATCAATATATGGCTTGTGATTGTTTTGTTTCATGTTCCTAGCTTTCACTCCCTGCCATGGGAGACTAACAAAAATTTAAGGCCAAATTCCAATAAATGGAAACATTGTTTGTACATATTTATATGATGTCATACGTTAAGGTTTGCGTCTTCCACTTTTTCAATTTTGGATGCTTTCTCGGTTGCAATCGCTAACATGAATTATTTACAGGGTTAAATGTGAAAAATAGCAAGTCATTTGTTATATGTAAGATTCTACTTTCATTTCTTCATATTACTAAAATTTTACTTTAAAATTTTTACCCAATTATAACAGTGTCATCTAAGAAAAAAATGATAGTGTAGTGTATAATTAGGCAGATTTTAAATGCATAATGTCCTTGTATCAGAAAAATTGGAAATAAGATTCTACAATTATATGGATTTTCAAAGTGCAATGCTTTAATAATCACAAAATTGACAGTTTAACTTTGTAATGGAAATAAAAGAAAGTAAGGATGTTATAGTACACAAATAAATGAAAATATGTTACGATTAAGGACTTCTATTTAGATGTAAATAATGGAAATATATTAAATAACATTATAACTTCATTTATATCTCGACTCTGAATTCATCTTTTAAAGTTTCCTCAAGTAACATGAGAGTTGTAGTTCTTTTCAGTAAACTAACAATATTGACATGAAGCGACTTGTTCAAATCTGTCAAAAAAATAATAATAATAAAAGAACATATTGTGTGTCATAGAAATGTTAATAATTATCAAAGTATATATATATATATATATATATATATATATATATATATATATATATATATATATATATATAAGTTCAAATAAAAACAGTAAATAATGTGAAAATGTAAAAACTTTATGTTTATGTTATTATTTTTCAATAAGTGTTGTATATGTGTATTGTTCAAATAATTCTAATATGAATATTAACGTTTGGTTATTCATATATTCATTAGAATGTTATTATTCTATTTTAAATTTATGTATGTGTATATTTGTAGTAAGTTCTAATTTTAGTTGTAACCTATGAGTATTCATTTATTCATTGCTGAATAACGACATAAAGTTGTGGATACAAAATTCATTGCAGAATAATAACATAAAAATAGTGTTTTTATATTTTCACGTTATTTATAGTTTTTATTTAAACTGTCATATATATAAAATACGGTCAGTAGCCCCAGAATCAACATACCAATCCGGGTGTGAAGGAGCAATATTGCATTGAGCATGAAAAGCATTTGCAATATCGACACCGGGTGTAGTAGTTTTAGCAACAAAACTTGAAAGTTGAGGGCAAACATTGGCATAGTGACCATCAGTACGACATAGTTGACAATGGGGAGGTCGCCTACCACGTCCCCGACCACCATTGGAACCTCCACGGGAAGGCCGGAAGCTGGTGCGAGATTTATTTAAGAGGGTAGTGGAGGGGCGAACCGCAGAGAAAGCAGCAGCGGAATGGGTGGAACCATGCAGTGATTTCAAGAACAACTCGTGACTCTCATCTTGAGCCAAGAGGTCACGAAAGGAAGGCGCCGACCGATTGGTTCTCATAGCAATTGAAAAGGTTTCAAACGAGGGCCCTAACCCGCACATGAACCAATGTAATTTGTCTGAGTCTCAACGGGATGTCCTATGGCCACCAATTGATCACAAAAACCCTCAAAATTTACTGGCAAATTTAGCAACAGTAGACACACCTTTCACTGATTGACGAAGTTGGTCACACAAGTTCTGGATCCTTTCAACATAAGAGTTGTTGTAGGCAGTCTCAAGCGCCAGCCAAATGAGGCGAGCAGATGGAAGGCCAATAATCTCAGCAGTTGCCTCCTCAGAGAGGGAGGCATGAAGGATAATGACGGCTCGTTGATCATTTATTTTCCAAGTGGTATAGAGAGGATTAGGGTTGGACTTGCCATCAGTTAGAACTTCAGGAGAAGGAGCGACAGTAGAACCGTCAATGTAAGGAAGAAGGTTCTGATAAGCAAACAGGGATATCATCTGATTTTTCTACAGAAGGTAGTTTGAAGGAGATAACTTTATGGTGATCATATAAAGGAGGGTATGATCGACGGAGGAGGAAGACTAGTCACTGGAAAAGAAAAGAGAAGAAGAAAGAGATTTAGGGGAAAGAGGAAGCGAAATAGGTGGAAAAAGAAAGGTCCTAGGGACTGTCTGATACCATGTGTTAACAGGTAATTGAAAACCCCCTGACCCATAACGTGGGCAGTAGAGCAATATATATATTAAAGAAATTTACAATTTTCTATACAAAGAAATAAATAATTGCAACAAAGGACAAACAATAGTAAATGAAAAATAATCAATTTATATATATATATATATATATATATATATATATATATATATATATATATATATATATATATATATATATATATATATGGGAAAAGTGAATATACCCTTAAGGGTATATAAGGTTAGGTACCCATCCTCAATACTACGTAGTTTTATCACTTGGTTTAATTTTTCTGAAAAGAAAAAAAATAATAATTTCCTTATACGTGTTTCCTTTTTCACTGATAATACAAAAACTTCATCCTCTTTGATTTTCTACTATGTGATCGGCATACTATCACAAAAATCGATTTCAAATAAATCGATTATCAGAATTCCTTGATCGAATGCGTCCTTGATTGACTTCAAGGATTGGTCGTGAAAGAAAAACTAAATTGAAATACTAACACAAAAACGATTTCAAATAAATCGATTATCAGAATTTCTTGATCGGAGGCGTCCTTGATCGGCTTCAAGGACTGGTTGTGAAAGAAAAACAAAATTGAGATACTATCACAAAAACGATTTCAAATAAATCGGATTCAAATAAATCAGAATTCACAGGCTTGATTCACAGAAACTAACGAGAGTGTGGTTGCTTCATACCTACAAAAATTGTGATTCCTTTAGAGCTCTTCCAAGTAATTTTTTTTATAACTTTTTATCACTCAATCATATATTCAATTTGTTTGTACGTCCAGTTTTAGGAGTTTTGCTTGTCACAAAACTAGTTGCTTCTTGTAGCCAAGAAACATAGTTTCACAATGTTTGTCACTATTTTCATAGGGAAAACAATTGTTCTCAAATAGCAAAAACTATGTATTATGAACATACTGGCAAAAGTTGCACGCACCAGCTAGTTTTGGTTACAATTCTATCAACCATAGTTACAAAAAGTGTAGGGATCATGTTATGTTATAATGTGTTAATGTGTTAGAGCCCAAGAGATATCATTATGAAGTACCGATGGATTTTTATGTTTTATGATTAACTTATACATGTTAATTTGATAATTGTAGTGTTTTGTTCATTTTATATGCATTTATTGGGAAAGGAAAAAGTCATTTTTATAGAGTATTTTGATGCTTAACAATTTTTAATTTTTTTTAATGAAATTTGTTGATTGGGAATGGAAAAAGTCAATTGGTTGTTATTGTGTTTTTTTATGTATAATGTTTCCATTATATTCAATATAAAACCATTTGGTGTTTATATTTTATTTGGAAATATGCATTGTCCATTGCAGGCCATAATGAGTAAAGCCGAAGCAACCAATCAAGCCATAGAACCATATATAACCGAAGATATTGACACAAATGATTACGTGGAAGCAACATATGAATGTGAAAAAACAAACAGTATCGGTGTGAACACTGAATTTGATGAGGATGAAGTTAAAGATGAAAGTATTCTGGAAAAGGTTTTTGATACACCCGATGATGCCTATACATTTTATAATGATTATTTATTTTTTCATGGATTTGGTATACGTAGAGATGACACAATAAAAAATCCTAAAACAAATGAGCATTTTCGGAAGATATATGTATGCAACAAAGAAGGTTTCAAAAAGATGGAAAAAATGCTTCAAGTGAAAATGAGAAAAAACGTCGTAGAGATGTTAGAACCGGATGTCAAGCAAAGCTTCGAATAACAAGATAGGAGGATGGGAAATGGTTGGTGGACTCGTTTAATGACACACACAATCATTACTTGACCATGACACCTACGAAGGTGATGAAGCATCGATCTCATAGCAATTTTCACCGCTCAATAGAAGGTAAATCCCTTATGGTGCAGCTTGGTCAAGCAGGGTTGAAACCTTCTCAGATTAAAAAGGTTGTTAATACAATGAAAAACTCAAATGTAGCTGATGTTACTTCAAAGCAATGTGCCGATGTCTTATCTGAGCAACGAAAAAAACATAGAGGAAAGGAGTTCTATGGACTTATAAAACATTTTCAAGATAAAACATTAGTTGATAGTAACCAGTATTTTGTCATGGATTTGTCTGATGATGGGTAGCCTAGAAATATCTTTTAGGCTGATGGTAGAGCAAGAGATGCCTATACAAAATTCAGAGATGTTGTGTTTGATGTCACTTATATGACTAACAAGTTCAAGATGCCTTTTGCTCCCTTTACTCGGGTGAATCATCATGGCAGTCTATACTATTTGCTGGAGCATTGCTTGAAAACGAAAAGGAAGAGACATTTGAATGGTTATTTGAACATTTCCTCAAATGTATGTTTAACAAGTATCTGAAGGAAATTATAACAGATCAAGACAATGCAATGGGCAATGCAATAAAAAAAAAGTGTTTCCAAGACTTGACATCGCTTTTGTTCATGGCATATCATGAAGCATGAAACTGAGCACCTTCGGTCGTATGTTTCCTGGTATAGTGATTTTCAAGAAACGCACAAACACTGGGTAAATAGTGATACCATTGAACAATTTGAAGCAACATGGGAAGTTATGCGTAGTAAGTATGAATTGGAAAGCAATTGTTAGATTAGTGATATGTATAACCAACGTATACATTGGGCTAAACCCTTCTTGAAGGATACTTTCTTTGCTGGTATGACCACAACCGGACGAAGTGAGAGTATCAATTCATTTTTTGATGGATTTGTTAACTCGAGGACCATGTTGAATGAATTTGTTGTATAATATGACAAAGTAGTTGAGTCTCGAAGGGCCGCCAAAGAAGATGAAGACTTCAAGACTATGAACTCGAGGCCGGTTCTTTCTTCAGTTCATTCAATCAAAGCAAAAGCAGGTTAATGTTATACTAGAAAGATTTTTGATACTTTCAAAAAAAGAATGGATCGAAGCTATTACCATTTTGACTCACGAGACTATAGGAAAAACTGCAGAAGAAAGCACATATCGAGTTGGGCAATTGGATGTTGATAAAAGATATTGGTGCATTGTTACCTTTCGTTCTTTGGATCAAGTCAGCATCACATGTTCCTGTGCTAAGTATGAGACAAACATGATTTTATGCAAACATAGCCTATATGTGATGAAAAAGAAGCATGTTAAAGAACTCCCGAGTCAATATATTTTACCACGATGGACCCTTAATGCTAGGTACAAACTGGGTAGTGCTAGTATTGGACTCGGAGAAATGAATAATGAAAATGGAGTTAGTGCATACACACTATGGTGTGTCCGTTCAAATTTTACTAAACTAATTGAACAAGCAAGAGACTCCCCTTCAGAGATACAAAAAGTCAATATGCTATTGATAAGTCTTTTAGATGATCAATCAAATCGAAAGAAATCTATGTCTTTGGAGAATGCATCTCAAGGTTCTTGTATGGGAGTTTCGCAAATAGATATGATGCCATAATTATCTGTCCGTGATCCTCTTGGTCCAACTACTACAAAAGGGCATCCTAAAATTGCTAGTAGAATCAAGTCTTCTTTAGAAGCCCGTAAAAAACGTACATGCTCTTATTATCAAGGATTGAGTCATTATGCTACTAGTTGTTCAAAAAGAAAGGTACTTATAATATTAATTTAATTTTCATGATTTAGAACTCTAATAATTATATTAACAATATTTTTTTTTCATGTATCAGGCAGATGAATTGTTGGAAAAGACATAATGATGAGATGTTTTATTTTTTTGAGCAAAGGAAAAATCCATATGCTTCCTGGCGTTTTTGACATTATTTTTTGGTTAACAATGTATGAATAATCTGGAAATGTTTTATGTTTCTTAAGACTTTTTATTGTTTTCGAATGAAAATTGTTGATTATTTATAATTTTTGTGTTTAAAATTGAATGTTGGTTGCTCTTAAGGGTTAAAACTGAAAAGTAGGTTGCCATAATGGGTGAAGAACGAAAACATGAAGCTATTATGGATTAAAAATGAAAATATGATACAATTGTGGATGAAAAACAAAAATATGATGCTATTGAGGTTGAAAACGAAAATATGATGCTATTGTGGGTAAATAATGAAAACATGTTGCTATTGTGGGTGAAAAACAAAATTATGTTGCTATTGTGGGTTGCAAACGAAAGCATGTTGTCTTTTTGGGTTAAAATTGTAACTTTTCTGCAATTGTGGGTTAAAAATGTAACTTTTCTGCAATTGTGGGCTAAAAATGAAAGCATGTTGTCTTTTGGGTTAAAAATGTAATTTTTATGTAATTATGGGTATAAAAGAAGGTATGGTGTCATTTTGGGTTAAAAATGTAACTTTTCTGCAACTGTGGGTTAAAAATGAAATCATGTTGTCTTTTGGGTTAAAAATGTAACTTTTATGTAATTGTGGGTAAAAAAGAAAGTATGGTGTCATTTTGGGTTAAAAATGTAATTTTTATGCAATTGTGGGTTAAAAATGAAAGTATGCTAATATTTTGTGAAAAATGGAAGTATGATGCTATTTGATGAAAATAAAATAAAGTATGATGGTTTTTCACTTTGTTGGACAATTTTACCCTTGTCCTAAAAATGGCAAGAACAAACCTCAAGAACAAGCCTTGCGAACTTAATGATGGGGAAGTTTAATTCACATAAACAATACAACCAAAAGCGAAAAATCTCATTTGACAATTTTAATTAAAAATGATAAGTACATTTATATTTCGGATAATTACGAAAAATGGGTTGTTACTTCAGCTCAATCAACAAAAATAATACTTATGATTTATACATTTTCTATCAACGTATACATGGTCTATTCATTGTACAACAGCACAAACTTTTTCTAGAGTTCCTATGATTCTTCCAACACTTCATCTTTTCAGTCCATAGCAGAATGAATTCAAAACAAGTTGTTGATTTCCTATCACTGTACATCCATTCATCATTTTCTGGGATTGTTAGCAACTCATCAAAGGATATGCCTTGTTTTTATGTCTCTTCAAGAATTCCATACAAATCCAAACCATGTTAAATATACCAATTTTCAAAAACTTTTCGCATTATCAATGTACTTTTTACCTTTGTCTCTTCACGGACATCAGGATGAACATAAGCATATACCATCTGTCATGTAACACGTCCCACGAGAATTTGGAATAGAGTTCATAGTACAATAACGTAAGCCCAAATACAATGTTTTTGTATACGAAATACAGAATCTGCAGCAATACACGATCGATCAATTTAAAAAGTAAGTCATCTTACTTTTATACCAAAAAAAATATATTCTCTAAATTAAGTTTGGTAGAAACCATCTTGGAGATTCTCTTGTAACACCAATGCCTATGCACTATTAACAATCGTTTCAAGAATCGAAATTGGGGCATTGAGAAGTCACTTGCCATCACAACCTGCATTCCCATCTCCAATCGCCAATGTCATCTTGCCAGTATATTTCTTCACTAATCGAGTAATCTTAGTTTGCACAAAATTAGATGGATTAATTTCTAATTGTTTAGGATATGATTTGAAGTAATTAAGATGAATCTAGGTGGATTACCAAGGCTTTCTGTTTAGGAGAGACACGACAACATATAATAGAGGAACGATTAACTGCTAGCTGCAAGAAATGGTCTCTTATGTCATCCCCCAAAGCAATTTCGTTTATTGAAAGCTACAAAATGTTGAATCATTATCCCTAACTTGCATTTTTCTACTAGTAACTTTTCTGCCTCAGATTGAATATATAAACCGACTTAATTCAAGTTCATAAATGATTTTTTGATTCGGCGTCCCTGCTCAATGAAACTGCTTCATATCATGCCTAAGCAAACTACAAGCAAATCTAACCCAAAAATTACAGTCAAGTATTTGGATACTCTAATTGGGTCAGGTTAATCCAAGCCATCTCCGATTCGGGTCCACGGATGTGGAATTATGGGTCTAAACTAGTGCTTTCCTATCACAAAGATTACCGAATTCATCCTTTAAACAAATTGTTGTATAACCAGCAAATGAGATAGTGACCCACTTCTCCAATGTTTCAAAGCCACCTCATCTTCCACGAATCTTTGAAATAGCTAAAAGATCACCAGAATGGACATCAACCAGATTGATAACGGTCAGCCACGGCTTAGACATCTTCTCAAAAGCCTTGAAAACTGCATCCATTGATTCGGGCATTTCATCGAGCACCTTATGTGCACTGTGCACATCGTATCCCCTTCCCTTGTAAGAAAGATGGAATTAGACATCCCCAATTATACATAATGATGATTTGGAGATACATTCTTAAACCAACTCCTTATTTCAAACCAATTTAGAAATGATGTAAAGAGTATAGACCCAGTTCACTGAATCAAAAAATAATCAACTCAACTGATCATACTATAAATTGAAGATGAATAGAAGAAATAATTCATAAAGAATGGGAATTTGAAGATGGCAAAGTGTTTTATTAACCGAGAATATACCAAATTCCCCAAGTTTGTTGTCGATTTGCTGCGTTGTTGCGATGGAGTAGAGGCTGGGGGCTGTCTGCCTTGTCTCGTTGGGCCTGAACATGCCTTGCATCGCAGGTGAGATAGTCGGCGAACAAAGGGATGGGCTTCAACTGTAAACAACGACGGCTGTCAAGATATGTGAATGTCAACGTTAGTGTTGGAAGAGACGAAGATGATGTGAAATCAGAAACGTATTTTTGTGTTTGATGATTTCTGTCGATTATGGAAATTGTTATTTTTTTTTTGTCAGAAAAATAAAACCAAGTGATAAAACTACGTAATATTGTGAGGAATGAGGACCTAATCTTATATACCTTAAGGGTATATTTAAATACTTATTAGATGGAAGACTCTGGTGATTATATGGCATGAGACTTGATTTGATGCTGAGTTTTAGTGTGGTTGAGGGACAATTTTGGTAATTTGGGGTGTGTTTATGGATCTGTATTTGAACACCGAATTCTTGAAATAACATGAGGTAAAATGCTTTCATTGTATTATTATAATAAGGCCATATAGGTAGGTTGCCAGGGTATAATGATTATGTGGGTATATAGATACCTTTAAATTTGATGTTAATGAAAATCTTACGAAGGTGCATTAGCTGAGGGTGAGATATTTGATGAAACTCGGATTTGTTGTCAGTTACCATCAGATTTATTTGATCAAACGAATGATTAAATATTGAAAATAAACTGTAAGTACAAATAATAAATATCTAAATTTCTATATACCAACTTCGTATCTGCTATGAACAACCACCGTCAAGGAGTGAATATTTGGCCAAAGTCAAATGAAAAACATCAAAACCAACAGAACGAGCCTGATAGTTCTAAGTATTCATGCGGTTTAAAATTACAACAAATTCATCAAGAACAAGTTTGTTTCCACAGTTGGCTTTAATGGCTGAAAGTTTCTCCCATGTGTATCTTTCTCCTCGATCTGCAGTTTTTTTGAAGCTCTAAATGAGATGGGTTTGTATGTTCTTTGAGGAGTAAAGTTTAAGGTAAAAAAAAAAAGGAATCAAAATGTAAACTTTTTATAGGTATCAAACTTACACCCGACACACTTCAGTCAAATGAAGACAACCAACAGTTAGCTAAATAAACACAAATAATATTCATAAATACTTTGATAACTTGTGGAAAAATTTCACTCTCCTAAAAATTCCCTTTCTTGCAATGTATATGTATAAGTTTATTAAATTGAGATCATACGGAAAGAGAATTATCATGAGCATTGTATCGAACAATTGGTATGCGTTAGATATAATATATGCATTTATGATTCATGCAATACTACTTATTATATATACGTTATGCTCAGGGTTTGATATCCTCATAAAAGATCTATTTTTCCAGTCATCTAAAACTCTTGCATCAACTAATGGTGTCATGTGTTTCTGCTGAGCCTTTGCTCCTGGTTTCCAGTTAGAATATATTTAGAAAAAAAAATTAATTTTTTTAATGTGTCAATGATGATCCAAATATCCTTTTGAAATCAGGGAAGCATGAGGTTGCCATTAAATTTCCGTACCATTTGTTGAGGAAGGGGATTTTAGCATGTTTTTGTTTTACCCTGAAAGCATTTTTAATTTAATCGTTTGGTTCCTATCAGCAATAAAAAAAATACCTAAAGTCATTCACGCTTTATTTAATTATGTCTTGACCCATGGCATCTGGAAAAAAATATGTATATAAAATCTCATTGGCTCTCTGGTACAATGGCCTTCAACACCTTATCTATAATCTATGTACATGTGTGCTTCTTTGTGAAGACAATAAGAGAGACAAAATGATTAATACGAATGTCAAAGTTTTCTAATGTTTCACATGATGAGTTGAAAGAAAAGACAGTCATCAAAACCAGCTACCCGCCCTGCCAAATTATTACATGCATCAAAAGCTTTCTTTATCCTGCAAAATTTTAAGAAAATGGAGCTTTTCAATTTTCCTCTTATACTTTTTTTATATCATAATTGGCAACCAAAAAAAACTTCTTTTACAATAAAGCATCTTTTTTACACAAGTTACCTGTCAAGAGATTAAAATAAAGTACGCACATGATCCGATGGCCCGTTTCTCATTTAATTAAATGTCCAAAAAAAAAAAAACAAAGATAGAACTCTTAACAAAATGTTACTGAAAAAAAATTCAATACTAAAAGCTTAAGAAATGAAAAAATTCAAATATTAACTTTTATACTATAGTTTCACAAAATCATAAACAAGAACTTAACCTGAATCAATTTAGTCGTCTTACCTTTTGTTCTTGATTTACCCGCATCAAAATCTTGCTGACCTTTGAAACTCTTACCATGCTTCATACCTAAAAGAACTCCAACATATAAGATAACATATTGATTTATAAAGTAAATTATATTTATTGGTGTATAAAGCTCAATCTTTGAGTGACTGTCAAAGAGCGCCAACAGTAGCTTTTGCACCATTATTTTATTTCCCTAACAACTTGAAGCCAAAAACCTTTGGAAATACCATGCTCTTTTCCCTATCACGATTACCAGCTAACATTAGTTTTTAAGGTTATAAGATCTCAACAACCTTGGTTGAGCATTAATGAAGAAACATGGGCCATTGTTTGAGATGCAAGCTGAAGGAAACGCTCTTCACATATAATATAGGTTTCTATTACAACCATTTCAAATCTTTAAATACATAAATATAGGTTTCTATTTCAAGTTCCAGTTAGACACAAATTCAAACTTTAAATTTGAAAATAGCATCTTACTAATCTTGGTTGTCATTTTTTTAAACTTTAAATTCCATATCTTTTTATGCTAGTTTAAATTCAACAAATTTAATGGTATTTACTCTTATTTATACTCCTTGATTCCGTCCCATATCAGATAATGGTAAGTCAAATTCCAAAGCCCACAAAGGTTGAATCGAATTGTTTTTGGAAACTAACATCCATAGAAGTATGTTTGTTTTGGAACGGAGCGGTGCAAGTGTTTGATGAGTCCACAGGGTCTGAGATCGACTTGCAATCTAGGTTTCTCATTTCCGAAAAAGGATTTAAAGAAATAACCGCTTTCATTTTTTGGTTGAAAATAACAAATAAATTGTTAGTTTTAAGTTTTAACCTAAGAAAAATATTAAAAGATCACGAAACACTCGAGCTTGTAGCTAGTCCCACCAACATCTGGTGAAAATGCTACTAAATTCTCAACACAAATAAGTCCTCATCCTAATCTCATTATGTCTCATATGAATTAATTGCAATCTATGTAACCAACAAAAACCATATTACTAATGTATCCTTACCTGCAAGTACATTCTCATACCCGACAAATCTATCAAGTGGTATCCATAGGTTCAGAAACACGTCTCCTGCCAAATCTCCATATTCTAGCACACTAAACTTGAGTTAACAAAGTAATCATAATGCAAACTTTCAAGCCACACAATTAAAAAGGCTTCAAGAGCCTCCAAGAATTGTTACTCATTCTAAATTTCAATTTCTAGCACATCATTGACGTTTTATATTCGGATGATAGACATGCAATCAATAGCCATTAAACATTAAGATGGAATGATATTCTACTATTGTTGTATATTTCGGATGATACTCCTATAAATGGGTAATTGAGATATCTTTTAATCAAGAACAACTCCTTTTTTAAAGGGCATACTGAAATTGAAACCATTACCTTGATTCACAAATGCATCTTACACCAATATTCTAAATCCTAATTAAGTAGAACCATAACCAAACTACAAATACCCTGGGTATGAAGATTATCAAAAAACATCAAGAAAGATGATCTGGAAGGGCATGTAGATATATTAGAAATCTAATTAATAAATTTAGTGTTAGATAAGAACATATTATGTTCAATTAGTACTGACAACAAAGTTGGCCATAAAAATTGACAATCAAAATTCCCAAATTTGAACCCCAAACCATCTCTTCTTTCCCTGTTTCAACATCATTAGATCAAGCAAACCCAGGCACTAAAAGAACTACATTTTGAAGTTGGTCATGATGGTTTTCTCCGTACGATTACTAAAATCAAAAGAGAATCAAGAAAGTCATTGTATATGTTAAATTATTAAAAAAAAGGAAAAATAGTTTTATCTAACAGTCAACAAAAGGTGAGAGTAGGAATAGAAGCTGGTCATAGTGGTGGATACTGTGCATGTCAATAAGCAATCAAAAAAGAGAAATTGCGAAAAACAGATTACCTTAGTTTAAGGTTCCATGGCATCGATTTGTCATTAGTAACGGTCTTTAGGCTAAATCGTGTCTTCATCAAGCCCTTCCCTTTCGTCCTCTTCAACATCAATCGTGAAGCAATAAAACCCTAGAGAGAGAAAGAAGAATTGAGATGTATTGAGGAGGTAGAAACATTATGACAAGAAGGAGATGTGAGTACGAAGCAAAATGTTTAAGAGAGAAACAACAACAAACCGATTATGGAAATGGGGAAAGAAGAATCAATTATTAAATCCTAAAAAAACAAATAACAACAAACATTAAATCGTGTCTTCATCAAGCCCTTCCCTTTCGTCCTCTTCAACATCAATCGTGAAGCAATAAAACCCTAGAGAGAGAAAGAAGAATTGAGATGTATTGAGGAGGTAGAAACATTATGACAAGAAGGAGATGTGAGTACGAAGCAAAATGTTTAAGAGAGAAACAACAACAAACCGATTATGGAAATGGGGAAAGAAGAATCAATTATTAAATCCTAAAAAAACAAATAACAACAAACATGTGAAATTACGAGTGTTTGACTTAGCTTTTAAAAGCCAAAAAGTTCTTTTTGTAAAAGATGGAAAAGTCAGGATTTCGTGACTTTTCAAAAAGATATCATTTACTCTACTGAAAAAGTTAGAAAAGTCAGAATTACCAAACATCTTTTTGACTTTTAGAAAAAGATAAAAGTTAAAAGTCACTTTAAAAATTATCCCAAACACCCTCTATATGAACCTTAAATACAGAATCAACATGGAGTCGGCATTAAGAGGAAGTCAAATGGGTGACTCGGCCGCAATCAATGGGAGGTGGCTGTAAAAGGGAATCCAAAAGGTAAGCAGCTTTAGGTGGAACGTCGCCGCCAACAAGGAAAACCCACCACCAAGTCTTGTGCCTTATCGTGACGTCTAGATGACCTAAAGCAAGCAGGCAGGTACCTTCATCAACAACCAAACGACGCCGTTTATTGAACCCAGTGGTTGGTGCGTAAATCCAAGCAGGAAGTGGTGGGAAAATGGAAAAGCATGAGAAAATAGACAGTAACTCGGCTTGACGCAGCTAATTGAGGCAGTGTGACTGTGGAGGAGGAAAGCAAACCAACTCCACATAAGTTAAAGAATGACGGCCAGACTTCTTATTGGATAAGGAAAGCAACAGGCAAGCAGGTGACGTGCATAGTCTTATTGTCTAAAGAAGGGTCTCGTAATTGATATATATATATATATATATATATATATATATATATAGCAAGAGAGAGAGAGGGGGGTGGGGGGGGGGGGGGGTAAGTTCATATGTTCTATGTGTCTATTGTGTTGACGTAGGAACCAATAAAAAAATTTTAAAAAAAATCTTTAATTAAATCAATAAGGATATATTAGTAAATCTTTAATAGCCTTTAAATCTAGAAAATTAGTAACTGGTGAAGTGCCCTTCTCTACTTTGAAGATGCATGAAAATATTACACTTAATTTCCTGGTGTTTTTAATCATAAAAGTCATATTCATAATCAGTACATCTATGTTCAATTTTTGATGATAACGTGATTGTTTTTTCTCAATATTTATCATTAACAATCCAAAATTTATGGAATTTGTGATCCAGGTAACTTGTCTTCTTCTTCGGTTGTTCATAATCTTGGAGGATACCCACCTACAATTCAATTAAACAAAGAAAAAGAAGGCAGTTCGGGGTTTTTGTTTATCATTCTTAAAAAATTTAATGACAATACCTTTTTGGTAGCAACATCGACGAATAAGAGACATAAGCGATCAATTATGAAAGAGTTGGTTTTTGTAGATTGGTCATAAGCAAAGTCACGTTCTTGTATGTTTATTCTATCAGAATAGGAACTATTATTGTATGTTGATTCTCGTATTTTCATTTTTTAATGTTACTTCTTATCATCTCGCCATGGTTTAACTATAATTTTATTTTTTTAATTTTACAGAGACAAGTGCATTGCAAATGTTACATGATGAAGACAAATATATTCTCATAGAATTGTATTTGTACAAAAAGAAAAAAAAAAATCATTCTTACGGATATTATTCTTATAGAATGTCATTTTCGTAAGAATTGACCATTGAAGATGATCAAGTGCGTTCAAGAATTATATATTTAAGAATGTTATTTTTTATGACTTTTATTTATTTTTTATGACATGCTATTTGAATATCTGTAATTTTATTAAAATATATACAACTACTATTTTGTAAAAATATGTATAAATTCGTATTTATTTTCAAATGTCTATGAATATATAAGGATATTATTAGTTTTAACCGATGGTTCAAAAATGTTGTTTTTCTTGAAGAAATTCATTTAAGCAAAATATGTATTTGTCAGAAATATGTATCCTAGTATTTTTTTATAGAATATCATTTTAACGCAATATCATTCTTGCAGAATAAAATCGGATAAAATTAAAAATTACGTTATAATTAAAATTTAATTTATAGAAAAATCGGAAAATTTAAATCAGGAGAATGAATTATCCCAAAAAAAATATGGAATTCTCCTTTTTGAAATTTATGCTAATTGACTATAATACCTTTATAATGAAATTGGATGATATTTTTCAATTATTTTTAATTCAATATTATATATTAATCATTTTTCTTAAAATAACTAAAATGATTGGCTCACAATTATTTCTACATCCATACAGTATTTAGTTAGAACACAATAACCTATATATATATATATATATATATATATATATATATATATATATATATATATATATATATATATATAAAAGGTAAGGATCAAATGAGTAATTGTATATTTTAATTAAATTAAAATAAAATAAAATTCAATTCAATCAAATTCCTTTAAATTTAAGATCAGTTACCAAAAAACAAAAAAATGTTCTATTTTTTTCTTTTTAATGGAATATAAAAAAACATTTTTGCCAAAATTTATTTTAAATTTGAAAAAAAAATCTTAAAAATTCATTTTTTTCTCCGATTTCACGTAAATTATACGACAGTCGTAAATGAATAAAAAAAACTAAACTATCAATCATAATTGATTATATTATAATTTGACGTTGTACATTTATATTGACACAATTATACTTAATGATTAAATCACTTTTAGACCATGTATTCATATATGAATGCACATTTTCATTCATAAATATAAAATATTATGGTTTTTTAATGAATACAAATATAATTGTAATTGAATAAAGAACATTATAAACATTAAAAAAAAAAAAATCAATACATTTGTAATCTTAAATGAATAGAACACAAATTAGAGATAAAATATCAACTTTGCAAAAACTATGTAACAGCCCGGAATTTCCAGGTACTTATTTTGGATTTATTTATGAAAATTGTGAGTGGACTCGGCGAGTTGGAGCTCAAACTCGCCGAGTAGGATCACGGATTTGGGCACGGGTTCGCGTCCGGACTCGACGAGTCCAAGGGTGGATTCGGCGAGTCCACGCTGTGTGGTGAAACCCTAATTTCCGGGATTTGGGACCTATTTAAAGGGCCTTATGGCCATCATTTGTGCTCACCCAACCCTTAGAGAGAAACCCGTGAGTGCTTGAATGTTTTGAGAGAGAAAGGAAGCATTTCTTGACCTTGTGTGTGACATTTAGCAAGAAGGAGGAGATTCTAGGCAAGAGGAAGCAAAGGAGGTTGTTATTCTGTGGATTTGAAGCTTAGATCATTAATCTAGAGGTATGATTTCGGTTTACTTTCTGTTTTGTGAAGTATAATGGGATTTAGGGTTTCTTATGGACATTTTTGGGTTGATTTGATGCCAAATAGTTCCCTTCTTGTGTTGAGGCTCTGGATCTGGATCCATAGAGGTCCAAAGAGCCTCACTCATCAAGCTTTATGTATAACAATGGAGTTTATGACCTTGAGTTGTAATATTTGAGACAAAAACATCATATATGGTCATATAGAGATTGTATGTGCATCAAGATAGTGACTTTACGTGCTAAATAAGGTTGGAAGGACTGGATCTGACCTTATGAGCAAGTTTGAGTCATTGCATGGCACGGACTCGCCGAGTCCGAAGAACAGACTCGGCGAGTAGTATGAATATTGCCTGACCACACAGCGAGTGGTTTTGCCGAGTTGGGGAGGGTTGACTCAGTGAGTCAGGGGGGAAGTCAGAGTGGACAGGTGGACTGAGTCAAGCTGGACTCGCCGAGTTGTTCTTGAGACTCGGCGAGTTGAGTCGTGGTGGCTCCGCAACTCATGCCAGGTGGAACTCGTTGAGTTAGGAGAATACTCGACGTGTCAAGGGAGGATTTCAGGGAAGTCAGTGTATACGTTCAGACTCGCCGAGTCGTTATAGTGCACTCGCCGAGTCCGATCAAAGTTGACCGTTGATCGTTGACCAACGTTGACCTAAGTTGACTTGTTAAAGAGTAGTCAACCTTAGTTGGGAAAGTGTTAATTAGAGATGTATTGTGATTTAGGAGGACTATAGCTCGGGAGATCGAGCACTAGTGATTTCAGGATTCACGACTTACCGAGACACGCAAGGTGAGTCTTCTCACTATACTTTACCTTGAGTAGGTAACCAGAGTTATATGATAGAGTATTTGTATGCTATGTATGTTATGTGTTGTACTGCATTATTTCTATGTGATTTATGTTGTGCATGTTTATAGAGTTTGAACATGAGGGTTCACAGAGTTTGGGTGCACGGACCCATAGAGTTATAGCCTCGAGTGGCTAATATGTGTTATATGTGGTATTTTGGAGAACTCACTAAGCTTTGTGCTTACAGTGTTTGATGTTATTGTTTCAGGTACTAGTGACGACCGCGGGAAGGCGCCGGTTTGATCCGTACACACGCACGGAGTTTATACATTTGAGATCTTGGGATTTTGTATTTACTTGAATTGGATAACTAAATGTGGTTGTTTTCTGAATATTAAATGAATTGTGTTTTATAAAAATTTAAAAATTTTGTTTTGAAATTTACGGTGTTACAAACTAAATAAACAAAAATTTACAATCATATATGAATAAAGTTATAATCACAAATGAAAAATTACAATGTCTTAATATAAATAAATTCTGGCTCATTCCAAGTTGTTATCCATCTGGATTCATCATTAATCTTTAAAATCCTTTAGCCCATCCGTATTAACTCGGTCAATCTACAAAAAAATCAAAGAACTTTTTTTTGTTTTATTTGTCAACAAAGTGCTTAATTTATTAACCAATTTGTTTTCTAAATTGCAATATTAAATCAAAATGTAATAAATAAAAAAATAGATTATCATTAATGAATAAAATTTATAAAAATAAAAAAAAACTAAAAATTAAAAATCAATCTTACAACAATAAAAAATGAATACAGTGTATCCAAATACTTAACATTTACTAAAAATAATACAACAATAAAAAATGAATATAGTGAATCCAAGCCAAAATCTCTCGTAAAAAGGTTGATTGTGACTAAGATGAATGAAACAAACTAAAGAAGTAAAGATACATCTCAATTATCCGAACTCCCCACATATTCAAATTAGACAATAATCAAGTACATCTTCATTCCGATTAATTATGCCTAAGAAATCTTCATTCCGATTGCAGATATATGACAGAGTCTATTGCTAAAGCTTATTGCTTCGTACATGATAGCAATAGAAAGGGTGAAGAATATGATAATTGAATATAATACTAAACGATGGCTGACCTGTTCGTACTGGCACTGCCATATTCATAAATCTTGCTATTGGAGAAGAAGACGACAACAACGACAGTAGCATCGCAGAGAACAGAAAGTTGCTGCGATTTCTTGTTTAACACTGATTTCCGCTTTGAAAACGTCACTTGTATGCTATCCTTGTCTTCAATTCACTTCATCTCCAACTTTCTTCGGCCTATCATACCCCTAGATCTCCTTCGGACCTAACTTTTTCAGTTTCGATATAGTGTATGGTGGTGACGGCTCAATTAGGGTTCATTCCTCCTGACCACTTTATAAAGTCTTCATAATCATTGAGCACCTTTTATTCCCAATATATGTTTGAATCTAATATAGGTTTCAACATTCTCATCCTCTAGCACTTCATTTTTTACCTACATAACTTATACATATTGGACTTTCATTGAATATGTTAAAATAAGCTTTTTATATGATATAATCTTAAACATTGTTAATATTTAGTCCAACCACATGCAACTGCTCTGAAACCAAACTTCTACTGTGAGATAAGATTTTAGTTGGGTTGGAGTTTGAGTCTAAAGTACCATAGACATTTAACGGATGTTCTTGAGAGATTCATAAGTCCACTTGCTTTGAGTACCACATACACATAGAGGAACTAAACACATAGTACGGTGAAGAAGGTAAGGGTTGGTGTCGAAGGTGGATTTGGTCATGCTTACTGATAGAGGGGATGGTGGTGATGATTGAAGACTACTCCCCAACATTCTTATCTTCAGGTATCTGTATAGTAATCAACCCAGAAATTAGGGTTTTCTTATATAGTATAACTTTATGAAAATAATTAAAAGACTATGAATTTGAAAACATTAAGTTTATCTTGAATAACATTTTCATAATAAAAATTAAGTTATTTTCTATTTTTTTTTTTTTTTCTAACCATCTTCCTATCTATTTTTTCATATCTATTTTAGACTAGGTGTAAGACCCATATATTACATGTGTTCATTTTTAAAGAAAAAAAATATAAAATTCTAAACAGTTGAGAAGTTTGAATTTATAAGAAACAAATAGAAAAATATTGAATTATTAAAATTAAATTGTTTTTTTTAAATTAAACAAATAATTTAGATAAATAAACAAAGGAAACTAATGAAACTTTAACTTAGAAAATTTAAAATTAGAAGGAAGTCAATTAATTAAATTGATATGCATTTATTATTACATTTATTATAATTATTAAATTTAAATATTATGTGGAAACCAAGGTTGTCAAGATCGAGATCTTACCTAGGATCGTTTTTGGGTTTGCAAGATCGGAATCGTAAGATCGGAATCGAGATCCTAAGATCCCACAAAAGAGAATATAGTTTTAATTTATAATATTTAATCATGAAAGATATTTCAAATATTTAATTTTTCGCTCAAAAGTTATAAATACTTCAAAATACTAGTTATAAGTCACAATAAAAAATGATAAATGGTAGATTGGTAAAGGGTAAAAGACAGAAAGTGGTAAAAAAAAATTATTTGCAAAACAAAAAAATAAAAAAATCAAAGGATGGTAGGATCAGATCGGATCTCGATCCTACGATCCTACCTACGATCTTACGATCCTACCCCAAATATGATCCTTTTACGATCCAGATCGTTTTTCATACCTAGGATCGTAGGATCGTACGATACTACGATCAGGATCGCGATTTTGACAAAAATAGTGTAAACTAATAAAATAAAAAAAACCACAAAATATAATATGAAAAAAAATTAATTGAAAATAATCACAAAATGACATGTGATCAAATCAATAAGAATATGACATATAATATAAAAGTTCTTTATTTATTAGGAAATATATTTAGGAGCGATTGCGACAATTTATATTAAGTATTTATTAATTTGATTGAATTGATAATTATCATAATCTTAAATAAGTAAAAAGATAAATAAAAAAAGAAAAGGAAATTCTATTCTCGTAAAATTAATATATTTACTTGATACTTTTAAACTTATTTATACATTATGTTTTTAAAATTTAAAATTATTTAAAATCAGTTATAATAGTACATCAACACCTTTTGAAAAAGTAAAATTGGATACTTGCCTGCGATTAGATACTCTTCAGAAATAAAACAATTTTTAATTATTCATTTCATTATTTCTCATTTATTACCACTAAATACCCAATCATGCTTACGTGGAAGACCCACCAACGGCTATTTTCTTTTAATAATCCGACCGTTTATTTTCAAAGCCACAAAGTCCACCCTTTTCAATCTTAACGGCAACCTGGCTCCACCGTTTGTCGCCATAAGTCCAAATTAATAACATCACAACCGTTCGATTTGATAAGTTAACGGCCGAGATTACTTGCCCGTTAATAATTTAAAAGAAAGCCCTTTCTTGTTCTCTACAAAAGTAACTCTGAGCAGGGGATTTCAAAATGTAAAGCCTTTCGGTTTCCTTAAATCTTTAAATTTCTCTGATGAAATCTTGCAAGTTTGTTTTCATTGTCGGATAAATTTTAAATATTCTTTTGTGATTAAATCCCATTTGAGTGAGAAATGGTGGTTACGGATCATAATTCTCCGTCGTCGTCTCCGGTGAGGATTACAGTTTCTTCCTCAGGCGCGTTTCGTAATGTGGGCTTGACAAGTCCGGTGAGAAGAGCTTCTATTTCGAATTCTCCACTTAGCGGTGGAGAAATCAAGCGGCTGAGTGGTGGGAGACGAGGTTCTGGGAATGGCGTCGGCGGTGGCGGCGGCGGTGGTGGAGGGAGGTATCTTTCTATGTCCAAGGAAGAGGGCGATGAATACGTTGCTTATACTGTTCAAATCCCTCCAACGCCGGAACACCATTTCATGTCGAATTCCCTGACGAGTCCTGAGTATGCGAAAGTTCATGGAAACCCAAATGAGAATCGGATCAAAGACACCGTGTTCACCGGAGGATTCAATTCCGAGACACGAGCACATGCCAGGAGGATGAAATCAGTTGAAGAAATGGTGGCGAGTAAGTCGAAATTGCTATGTCAGGTGGACGGATGTGACGAGAAGCTGCTGGATAAATCTTCGAAATCTCAGTGCGAATGTGGATTTAGAATATGTAACGAGTGTTACATGGATTACTGTTCCAGTAGAGCTGGTGTTTGTCCTGGGTGTAAAGAACCATTTCGAGAAGCCGGCGAAGAAGAAGATGAAGATGACTATCAGCCGATTATGTCGGAGGAGAAAGACACGGTGAATCCGCTGAGGAAGAACCGTGGTGGTATCAAACTGGAGAACAACTTTTCACTGGTGCGATCCTTTAAGGCACCAAATCAAGAATTTGATCACACACGGTGGCTCTTCGAAACAAACGGAACTTATGGATTCGGAAATGCGGTGTGGCCAAGAGAGGGGTGTCACCGTGGTGGTGCTGACAACTACGAAACTCAGCCAATGTTCAATGATCGGAGGAACAGACCGTTGACAAGAAAAGTTGGGATTTCAGCTGCCATAATCAGCCCTTACAGGTTAGCATTGTTCGTTGCTGTAAATTGTTAACCGCTTATTTTATAAAAAACTCGTCGTCTTAATTTGTATATTTCCGGCGAAATTGAATTGCAGGTTGCTGATAGTTTTCCGGCTGGTGGCTCTGACTCTGTTTTTAACATGGCGAATCATGCATCCCAACCAAGAAGCAGTCTGGTTATGGCTGATGTCGGTAATCTGTGAAGTTTGGTTCGCGTTTTCATGGCTTCTCGACCAACTTCCCAAGCTCTGCCCAGTCACCCGATCCACAGATCTCTCTGTGCTCAAAGAAAGATTCGAACCCACCACGAACAATCCTAAAGGACTCTCCGATCTACCTGGGATTGATATCTTCGTTTCAACAGCAGACGCCGATAAAGAACCACCTCTCGTCACTGCAAACACCATCCTTTCAATCTTAGCAGTCGATTATCCGGTTGATAAGGTCGCCTGCTACCTCTCCGACGATGGTGGCTCACTGGTAACATTTGAAGCTCTTGCGGAGGCTGCTAGCTTCGCTAGCACATGGGTACCTTTCTGCAGGAAACATGAAATTGAGCCCAGAAACCCAGAGGCGTATTTTTCACAGAAAGGTGATCCATTGAAGAACAAACGACGGGTTGATTTCGTTAGGGAAAGAAGACGGGTTAAACGAGAATACGATGAGTTTAAAGTCAGGATCAACGCATTGCCGGAGACTATCCGGCGAAGATCCGATGCCTGTAATGCAAGAGAAGAGCTTATAGCGAAGAAGAAACAAATGGAGCTTGGTGGTAGCTCGTCTGAATCAGTGAAAGTCCCCAAAGCTACATGGATGTCCGACGGAAACACGTGGCATGGAACCTGGTTTTCCGGCGAAGAAGATCACTCAAGAGGTAACCATGCCGGAATTATCCAGCTTATGTTGGTTCCACCAGGTCCTGAATGCACCTACAAAACTGAAAACGATCCAGAGGACCTGATCGATTCACGAAACGTTGATACGAGACTACCGATGCTTGTTTATGTATCTCGAGAAAAGCGTCCTGAATTTGATCACAACAAGAAAGCAGGAGCCATGAATGCTCTGGTTCGAGCAAGTGCGATCATGTCAAATGGATCGTTTATCCTTAACCTTGATTGTGATCATTACATATATAACTCATTGGCTTTAAAAGAAGGAATGTGTTTCATGCTTGATCGAGGTGGTGACAAGATCTGTTACGTTCAATTCCCTCAGAGGTTCGAAGGTATCGATCCCAGCGATCGTTACGCAAATCATAACACAGTGTTCTTTGATGTTAGCATGAGAGCTCTCGACGGGTTGCAAGGTCCGATGTACGTCGGCACCGGTTGTATTTTCCGGCGAATTGCGCTTTACGGGTTTAGCCCACCTCGAGCCACTGAACACCATGGATGGTTCGGTGGGAAGAAGATCAAGTTTTCATTGAGAAGAATGAAAAAGAATAAATCGGATGACGATGCTGAGATGATCTTGCCGATTGTAGATGATCGGAACAACAGCGAAGCAGATGATGAACTCAAACAGGCCTTGATTCCAGAACGCTTCGGAGATTCCACCTATTTGATCGACTCGATTGCTGTTGCTGAATTTGGAGGACGATTGATTCATGAGTTACGTGGAAAAGGCAGCCATGGAAGACCTTCAGGGTCTCTTGCAGTTCAACGCGAACCAATCGATCGAGCAGCCATTGAAGAAGCAATTAAGGTCGTGACCTGTTTCTATGAAGATAAAACCGAATGGGGTAAACGGGTCGGGTGGATCTACGGGTCGATTACTGAAGATGTTGTGACAGGTTATCGGATGCATAATCGAGGGTGGAGATCGGTGTACTGTGTCACCAAAAGGGATGCTTTCCGGGGAACAGCTCCGATCAACTTAACAGACAGGTTGATTCAAGTTCTCCGGTGGGCTACAGGGTCTGTTGAAATCTTTTTCTCAAGGAACAACGCTCTGTTTGCTAGCCGGAGAATGAAGTTTTTACAGAGGATTGCGTATTTCAACGTCGGAATGTATCCATTCACCTCAATTTCCTATTGGCATACTGCATCCTCCCGGCGCTCTCCCTCTTCTCCGGCAAATTCATCGTTCAATCTCTGAACGTAACGTTTCTGGTTCTACTTCTAGCAATCACAGTTACCCTAAGCATGCTCGCCCTTCTGGAGGTCAAATGGTCAAAGATCACCCTCCATGACTGGTGGAGAAACGAGCAGTTTTGGTTGATCGGCGGCACCAGTGCGCATCCAGTTGCAGTGGTTCAAGGTCTGTTAAAGGTGATTGCCGGAATCGACATCTCATTCACGTTGACATCAAAACCAGCAGCAGCGGATGACGGTGAAGATGAGTTTGCAGAGCTGTACGAGTTCCGGTTCACGATGCTGATGATTCCTCCGGTGACGATAATCTTGATGAACGTGGCGGCGATAGCGGTGGGGGTGTTTAGGACGATGTACAGTCCGTTTCCGGAGTGGAGCAAGCTTCTTGGAGGGGTGTTCTTTAGCTTCTGGGTTTTATCGCATTTGTATCCATTTGCTAAAGGGTTGATGGGGAGGAAGGGGAAGATATCGACGATTGTGTATCTGTGGTCGATGTTGATATGCATTGTGGTGTCGCTGATTTTCCTGTATATCCACCCGCCGGACGGCAGCCGGAGGCAGAATTTCAAATTCCCTTGATGTGGTTGTGTTATGATTATTATTATTAGTTCTTGTTTTGTAGCCAAGTCACGTTTTGGCTCGTGGCTGATTCTTCTTTTGTTTGTAATCCTTGATGATTTTTGTAGTATTACATCTTGTAAGAAATTTCTGCAATGAATATAACCAGTGTTATTATTATTATTATTATTATTATTATTATTATTATTTTGTTGTGTTTGAGGTTAGAGGAACTGGACAGTAGCAGTGAATTTTGGTACATCAACCATCAACCAGTTTGAATATATTTTTTGACAACTAATTTAAAGAAAATTATAAACCCTCTTTTTAAAAACTTAAATGACCTTTTCTGAACAACTACATCTCTTTCCCCAAGAAAACCTCTTGATCATCCCCTCTTCTTCAATCGTGAGTTCTTATCGTCGAGGAAAATGGAGCTCACATTGTGTTCGACGCTACACCCAAGAATATGGTAAGCACAAACCTTGTAATGCTAGGGTTAACAAAATGTTTTACACATGTAATTTTGCTTCCTCCATCTATAACATTTTTTCTTGAATTTTCAACACATGTTCTATTTCAAGATTTTGCTCATTCAAGATAAATCATGGGTGTCCGTTCACAAATACGGTATTTGGAAGGTCGTACACGGATGGGCTTGTGGATCACTTTGATATTGTGGATATGGATGTGTTTTCAGTCCACAAGTTAGTGATATGATGACAGTTTTAGGGTACAATGATGAGTATAATGTTTTACCATTTTATGATCTTAGACATACTTGGATAATGGATTGTTACTCATTGGCATTGATCAGGAAGTCATTCAGCTGGCAAGGTATATGCCTAATCATAAGGAAATTAATTTATACATTGAGCATGGGAAGACTAAAGTAGTCCTTTACTTTAAGTCCCCATTAAAGGTCCAAGTTGAGGAAGGTTAAGAGGATCATTCTCTTGAAATGAATAGGGTTAGAATGAAAAGGAAATCAGGTCATGTAGTAAAAAGTTGGGTTTGAATGAGCCAGCTGATTTTTCAAAGTTAATTGTACCCTATAAACCTGTGATCAACAAAAAAACACTCAACTGAGTTTGATCCCTTTAAGAGGGGGGGGGGGGGGGGTTACAGTTTGAGGATAACCAAAGTAAAAAGATCTTGACATAGGGGATGATCTATAACATCCCGAGATTTGGCAGGTATTCCCGAACCCCCCATTTTATCTTTACCTTGTCATTTAT